CACATTTTCCACAGATATTATCCTTTCCCATCGTTTTGTATGATGTGTTGCTTCCAGTAAATGGCATACAGGATGCCAGACAGAGAAAGCGGTAAACAGATCAGGCAAATCACAAGGCAGGATAAACCTAAGTCTATCTGAAAATCAATAGACAGCTGGACAGACCTTCGGCGTGGGGCAGCAAACACTATTTAATAAAGGAGCTGCCACATTCTGCACCAGTTTCAGTTTTGGGGTTGAATTACAGAAGATCAAAGTTATTTTTTTTCCTAATATTGGGTTAGTATACCGTGTGTGTGTGTCTTTTTTTCCTGATGAAGAAGATAGCCTCAGAGATGGTGTAGTATTATTTTATTATTCTTAATTTTATCCCTCTTGATTTACTTTACTTTAGAAAGATGAGAAATGCAACCATACTCTCCTGGTTTTGTGGGACGACCTCTCCAACACTTTAATGTGAGCTCTATCACTTTAACCAGAAAGGAGTACGGAAGCTTTACAACTGCGTCCTCCCTCTTCAATGGGGGTTTGTCATTGAAGTTACAGAGGTGCACAGTTGTAAAGAGGTAGACTAAAAATCTCTCCCCATTTGTGCAGCTTTCATTCTCTTGTAATGTTACCACTTCTTGAGGGGGGGGGGTATTTTTGTTAATTTTCTTTAAAAAAATAAACTTTCGAGCCTTTTTTTATATTTCATGAAAAAGCAAAAGGTAGCACAGGCACAATGTGTGTGTTGCTTCACAGACCTCCAATAAGAGGAAGGACTAGACCACATATATTGTAGTAATCCTCTCTTGAGATGATGTAGGTACAGATCACAATAGCAATGCCCATAACTGAAGGAAACTGGAACAAAGTCACAGCCAGGTGACGCTCAGGCAGGAGAAAAGGGTGGAATCTTTCCTGAAGCACTTGGGGCTCCAACATCACCCCCAGATTGTGAGCTCTAGCTAAATCTGATTGGCAACCACCCTCAAAAACAACAATAGAATAACTCTGGCTCTCTTCTGATTGCTTCTCCCCTTTTTCTCTCCCTCCCGCCCCATCCCTAATGCAACCTAGATAGCAGTGCCTTATTGAACTTCAACCAGTTAGCTCTCATCCATGCTCCAATCTCCCCTATACACTGGCTCAGGCATTCAGCAGTAGGGGCTGGGTAGGGCAAGATAAAAATACAGAACTGAGTGTCAACAGCTTATCAAAAGCACTGCAGCCCATGCTTCTTCACTAGCCCTCTTAGTGGCATCCCTAATGCAACCTAGATAGCAGTGCCTTATTGAACTTCAACCAGTTAGCTCTCATCCATGCTCCAATCTCCCCTATACACTGGCTCAGGCATTCAGCAGTAGGGGCTGGGTAGGGCAAGATAAAAATACAGAACTGAGTGTCAACAGCTTATCAAAAGCACTGCAGCCCATGCTTCTTCACTAGCCCTCTTAGTGGCT